AAACAGCACCCTGCACCTTACATCGCCGGTATACTTTCTTTAATAATTAATGTTACCTTATATGTATATATCATTCGTATATGATTATATATTACCTTTAAGAACCGTGCAAGTAGTAGTTGAACGCTGTGGAGGTGGATGTTGCAACAATAATTTGTAACTTTCAAACTAATTAATATGAACTTTAAGTTCTAGTAATTGCCAATAATAATAACACCCTGAAGTAATGTCATGTAGATCAAGAGTCCCATGGAGTTGTCTGGAAAGTCTCTTGGTTATACATATGGATGTAGTCCTTACTTCATTAATGATAAAATAAAGAACTTACATTCAAAGCTTAGTGAGCAGCACGTAATTTTTTCTTCTGCAAATCCTTCTACTATATATCATACCCAACATAGGAGGGCTACTGCAGTTTGTTGTGATTATAACTCCTTCATTCTAACACAATAAATTTATATGGATATCAATAACTATATATATATATGCGTGTGTGTTAAAAAGTATAAAATATGATTTGGTCACTACGCCACCGTAAATTTAGCAATGGAATGAGGCTTATTATTATTGTTAGTATTATTATTATCATCACTATTATGTCTCCATGTCGATCCACTTTTTGCAGATCTGCAGTTTGCTATCTGAAATTTATTTAAGGATTGAACTAAATTTGATACAAGGTATTTATGTACACATGATAGTTGTTTATATCTATCAAAACCAGGATGTAATGTTAATGTATGTACATACCTTTGCCTTTCAAGAGAGGCGCCTTTGTTTTCGTCTCTATGGATGCATTCAGCTGCTCGATTAGTGTCTTTCTAGGCGCCAAAAGTGAAGTGTCTATCCGCAATCATGACCATCATCAAACCAATCAGAATTACTAATTTATTGAATGGATTTGAAATATTTGCATGAATGATGGATTAAGTTACCACTCTTCTGATGAATTCTTTGTTTACACAGCTAGAAATCCACACACGTGCAGAAAAGAGTCAGTTAATATTCCTCTTACAAAAATTACAACTTTGGCTATGAACTAACTAAAGACGATCATCGAATTGAATCATGCATCTAGAATTCTGGAAATGTTCTCAAGGTTTCAAAGTTGTTGATCCTAGAAAATATGGTTTGCTCACTACTCACCATAAGTTTAGTAGGAATATAACACGGTTTGTTATAATTATCATTATTGCGCTTCTGTGAAGATTCTACTTTCGCAGAGTTGTTGTTGCCACCCGTAATATCAAAAGAAGTCAAGACATGATTCTGCACTGTATACTAAAAAATTCGTAAAGAAATAAAATCATTCTGCACTCGAAACACAGATATATATGTCATGTTAACATACGTACATATCTTTGCCTCTCTGGAGAGTCGTCGTCTTCATCGTCGTTTTTCTTTTTGTTTTCGTCTTTGTTGTTGCATTCAGCCGGTTGATTAGTGACTCTCTAGGCGCCCATAAATGAAGTGTGTGTCTAAAGTCACCATCATCAAAGCAATCATAGCAAGGCATTCGAGATGGTTGTATGGTCATCAAAATAACAAATGCTGTAAACAGAGTTTAATATTAGGCAACAAATGGTGTTCCTGCAGGGGGACATTCTCCTCCAGCAGCGGTGGTGGTTGGCTGTTCCTGTCATCTTTTCTGATAGCTCTCAGATCGACAATGGCTTCCTCCCAGAAGCTCCGGCTAGCATCTTGTGGCTCTGATCTCCTCCAGAACACGTCGCCGCCTCGCCTCCCTTTTTCTCCGGCGGAAATGTCTTTGCTCGGAATTTTAGTGTACCGCCCAACATAGCCGAATTGACAAAACTCTTCATGGAAATCATTTGAAAAAACATTGCAGTTTTGGTACTGAAAAACCAATGGGAGGAGGTGCCACTTATGCTGAAAAGGAGAAAACATAGTGAAGAACAGTCCCAACGAGTAATCGCCCAAGGGCAAGAAGGAGAAATATTCTTCAAATGAGATTTTAAGTTCTTCTCCGTCAATCTGATCATTCTCAGCCGATGTTTACTTTTGTTATCAGTTTACTTTTCTAGTTTAGGAGTGAAAGAAACAACTTGGTATAAATGTGTGATATTAGACTTTATTTTGATTTCATATTACTTCTCCGTTCCCAAGTATTAATGTGATTTCTAATTTTAATATTTAATAATCTTTGATTTGATTGGGTATTGTTGTCAGGTATTTCAATTAGATTAAGATTAATTGCTAAATTAAATTAGACGTTCGTAATTACATTTTAATTTTGTTCAAGTAGCAACTAGTGGCGGACACCATTAGGAAATCACATAATCAATTCTAAACAAATCCGCATAGATAATTGTTAAATTGAATTAGGCTCTTCTAGTTTGCAAGAAGGTTTGGCTGGTAAATTCTTTGTTGCATCACTAGCGTTCTAGTTTAATTAAGAAAACAATTGACGGGGTACTTAGACTCTCGAAAAATTAAGAAAGAGTTGGTTATTAAGCGCGTGTCGGTAACTATAACTAATTGACAACGTTCTAGCCATGCAATAAATATTCCTACTTTCTAATCAGACGAATCATAGTATAGTAAGCAGGGTCGATCCACAGGGATTGGTTGATTTATTTTTTTTATTCACTATGATCAAATTAAGAGGGCGGTTTTCGGAGTTTAAATCTAATCCTAAACAAAATAAAAACAAATCAAGAAAATTTAAAAAATCAAGAAAAATAAAATAAATCAAGAACTTCAATACAAAATATTTTTGTAGTTAAAACTATCATTTAACAACAAAACTTTATTTTGTCGTTAAAAATAAATTATGTACTGCAAAATTAATTGTCGCAAAAATTTTTATGTTAGAAAATCTTGTTTTAATAGAAGAAGGGTTTTACCTAGAAAATCACTCATAGCTAAAACCATTTGGCTTAAAAAATATGCTTGTTTTTATAGCTAAAACTCTTTTATTATGAATTTTATTTTTATAGAAAAAGAGGTTTTATCTACGAAATCATATTTTCGTAGCCATATGTATTTTCTTAACTTCCATTATGAAAAACTTATCTTTTATTGCAAAAGTCAAATTTGTCACTAAAGGTCATACCAACACATGCGATATAGGCGACGAAACTCATTTCATCACAAAAACCTTTACGTCATGAATTCATTAGCTAAATTTGATTTCTTTTGTAGTGACCATCCGAATAGTGATTCAATATCATTTTCCCATTCTCACTCTAACAACCATAATCTTCATATTCTCACTCTTCGTCTATATCTCCTGACCCTATCGACGCGTGCTCTTTTGCGTTAGGTATATCGAATTGTGCATGTAATAGATTTATTTTTAGCGGTGTTTCTTTTTCAACTATTTCTTATGCTTAAATCATGGATCTCGTTTAGGAAAGGGAGTAGCGTGTGTGAGTTTACTTGTGATTTTATGGTTTTGTTCGGTTGAGGTTCTAGTGTATTTGATTGAGTTGTTTCTTTTGGGTGGCTGAGCCTCTATTTCATGTTGTAAACTTACGGTGAAATATTGTAATGAATATTTTCGTATTTGGTTTGATTTTAATCGATCTAGTCTTTCCTTGAATTTTTCCTACTAGTATTGGCTTGAAAAATGGTTAATCAATCTTTTGAAAACACTAAGGGTGTGTTTGTTTGTGAGTTTGGATTTTTGAATAGTAAAAAGTTGAATTTGAATAGTTTTTTGATGTGATATAAATAGAAATTGATATGATGTTTTGAATTTAAAATAAATTTGTAGAATAATATAAAAAAATAAAAGAATTGTTTGATACGATACTTTTTAAGAAAAAAAAAAATCGTAATAGTAAATACTTTACGGTGAAACACACAACCTAAGTATTGTTCTGCATAATAGTGTTCATGTCTTATGAAAGAAATTCTACAATTAATTTTCTATTGTAATTGTGCATAATTCATCACCCTAATACATCATAACATAATTGAAATTGTTGAGTAGAGAAAGAATTGACACACTCAATAATCTCAACATGTTCTTTCTATATATATATATTATATAAATAATATTAAAAAAATAGTGATTAAATAAAAAAAATACGAAAATAAACTTGTCAAAAACTATGTATATAGAGGAATATATTTATAGATATATAGGAAATATAAATAGTAAATTACAAGAAATTAACTAAAAAAAATTAGTAAGCGTCAACCAAGAAGAATCTAGAACAAAGTTGTTCTAGAAACATCTGTGTGGTGCTATAAAAACAAGTGTATTGAGTAAGTGAAAAATATACAAAAATGATGAGTGTCAGATAGGGTTTATTAGAAAATATATTTCAATTTTTTTTTTTAAGATTTAAATCATCTGTCGTTGTTCTTTCATTCCTACCCATCAATTGTATACAAGTTCCGATTTGGCAGCAGATCCAATTCTAATTTTCTTTGAGACTCGATTAGGACTACAACTATGGATGGTAACGAGAGTATTCTTCATTCATCTGGGCGGAGGCTTTGGGGATGAATCGACATCTACATCTGCTGCCCACGATTGCTGCTTCCAGGGTTCGTATATGTATATATATATATGACTGACTGACTAATCATCTCTCTCTTTCTACTTTCTTAATTATGTAATTGTTGTTAATATATCAGATAAAGTCGATCTGATACAAAAGAAAGGAGAGGTACTCTCAAGTGAGAGGGAAGAAAAGGAAAACAAGAATTCGAATGGCTTAGGCAAGGAGGAAGCAAATCTCCAGTATTTATAAGAGCATACGTGAGATACATAATGGTTAACACTAGAAATAGCGTCTCGAGAAGTAGTGTCTCTCAGCGTAGCACCCTCTTGGACAATGAGGTGATTAACCTATCTTTTGTTGTAGATTTTAGTTTTTTATATTATGTAAATAAAGGCCTCAAAATGATTTCCTAACCTAAGAGTTTTCTTACTTTCAGATACTAGAATCCAGAAAGTTTGTTGAACAAGATTCAGAAATTCAATGGAGTCTAATGCCTCTTGGGTGCGTGGTAAGAAACGTCTACCGGCTTGGCATTTCGGTGATCATGTCGAGGTGCAAGGTGTTGCGAGGTTCATGTATATCCAATACTATGATGTTATCAATGCCGGAGAGCCTCAGAAAGTCGAGGTAGCACAGACACTAAGCTTTTCATCATATAGAGTTTTAACTGGGATCTGATATGGTTCCATTCATGTAGATTTTGCAGCAATGTGTTCCAAGGGAAAGAGAAGCATTATCAGTCATTACAGAATTACCATCAGTTATAATTCAAAAGAAAATCATATGGATTTTAATAAAGTCCCAGAAGAGTAAGTTTTATTTTCGAGAATTACATGAGTTTATATACAATCATCAATTTATCTCTCACTTTCCCATCGATATATATATATATCTACAGGGATGTCAAGGAAGAGAATAGAGGAAGTGCGAAAAGAAAGAAAAAGGGAAGGAGGTAAATAGCGTGAGCCTAAAATTATCATAAAAGGGAAGCGGGAAGTAGGAATTAGCTTTCGATGAGAGGTACAAGATCTTAATATACTCAGGTCTTAAAGTGAATGAATGGGGATCATACACAGCCTTTTGTTTCTTCTTAAGTGATAAATCGAGTCTTTTATTTTGGGAGAATGAAAATGATATCTGTTTCATGGCAGATCCAAGCTTCAATTTCCGAGACTTTTGGTCGCCAATCGGAAGCTCTATGGAAGAAAATGGCAACAACCAATGGAGCATTGACTTCAGCTGCAGGAAGTCAGGCCAACAACCAAAATCTGAGGCGTGGAAGAAACACTCGAAGCGCTGAACGCAGCGGATCGGTGCAGAGGAAGAATCTGCCAATCGGCTGATGGACACCACCACCGCTCTCATATTGTTGAATCAATCTCTTTAGAGCAGCGAATGTTTTTGCTTTTCTTGAATCTGCTAGATTGATGTTCTATATCCTAATATATGTTGAGTGGCTTTTTTATAATTTGGTGTTTTATATAGTTCGGATAACGGTTTTTTTTTCCAAAACCTCATTATGTGATTCCATTAAAAATGATTGGTTGCATTAGATAGTTTCCCTGTTTTGTCTTTTTTTGATCTGACTCATTGTTTCGTTTGACGGCATGCCGTGAATGACGCAGCAGTGTTGTTAACAGCATTTATCCAGAAATATGTATATAATGCTTTCATACAAAGCAGCATAACCGTTGGAAATAAGTCGATGCAGTATAGTCTTTGCTTGTAGCCTGATGAATTACATTTGTGTTCACTTTAGTTAGCCTGTATTGAAATTTAATAGAAGGCTTATTATATCAAAGCACCTTACTTGAAATGATGATGATGACATTAATTCAGAGATTTTTCTTTAGCATTATTATTTTAATTTTGTATTAGTAATGAATGCCTTATCTCTGTGTTACAAATTTTTGGGACAAGGTTGTCATATTTCCTTCGATCAGGTATGTGTTATCATGCTATACTAAAATTAATAGAAATATGGTCTACAACAAATGCAGTCTTTAACCTATATAGCTCCTTAGACTAAATAAAAAGCATGGAAGCTGTTTTGGATAGGCACACGAGCAAATGCATTTTTTCTAAAAATTTGAACGACACATGAAACTAAACTAATAGTGGCGATGATGTGTTTTGATTGTAATGGTGTTGATACTTAGTATTAGTCATGATTGTGCTCTTTTATATAGCACAACACCTTGTTAATAGCTCCTGTGCGGCCTATCAGTATTATTGATTAATCTTATGATCTCATTAAAAATATGTACGCTTCACTTTTTTCTGAACAGATAAGAGATAGGAAAGCGGTCTTCTTATGCCCCAGAAAAAAATGTATCGACATGATATGATGGAGTCTACCGGATAGAAAAACAATCAAGACATGGTTCCTTTATCCCCTTAAAATGTTGGAGAAAACAGGGAAACCTTTTTCCATTCTACTGCATGCTTTTCTTCTTAGTAGCAATTTCCCATCTTGTAAACCTGTATTGTTACTTGAGGGGCTCATAGTCTACAAATATTTGTTGTGAGATATTGCGACAATGAACCACCCTGGACAAGGTTATGGGTCTTGCCAGTGTGGTGCTACTATGTTATATCATATATGTAACATTTCTATTGATTCAACCATGTACTGGTTCTGGCAGTGATCGGCCAACATCTTTGCCAGCCACGCAGAACTAAATAAAGCAATTGATATGTTTGAAAGGAAGGATAGTCGATCATGGGATTTGTTAGGAAATAAACTTGTTTTGGTATAATTTAATTTAGTGCAGTAATTTTATGTAATATATGTTCCTTGTTTAGAAAATAAATTAGAGGATAGACTTTCCCTTATTTCCCGTATTCGAGGTAGATGGATGAGTCAATAATTGAGAGGATTTTATGTAAATCAATGACGGGGATTTTCAGCCCAGCGATGCGATTGAGAGAATAACGATTATCCAGCCCTATTTTTTACTCTGTTTTGCTTACAACCGTAAAATTGATTTTTCAACAAAGTGGTATAAGAGCATAGACGATCCAAGCCACAAAGATGATGAATGGAATGCTTCCCTTCCGGTTCCCAAAACTTACAAAGGACAATTATGATAATTGGTGCATAAGGATGAAGGCACTATTGGGTTCCCAAGATATGTGTGGGAGATCGTCTATAATGGGTACGAACAGCCTGCCAAAGATGAGACATTGTCTGCAAAAAAGAAGGAAGCACTGTAGAAATCGAAGAAGAAAGATCAACAAACACTTCCATAATTCATATGTGCTTGGATGAATCGATGTTTGAGAAGATCTCGTCTGCGGGAAGTGAAAAAGAGGCCTGGGAAATATTGAGTAATTCGTTCAAGGGGAAGGAGAAAGTAATCAAGGTACGGAGACTTGTGATGAAGAAGGGAGTTCGTTGAAAAATATTTCAATAGAGTTCGGGTTGTGGTAAACTAACTTAAGAGATACAATGAGAAAATTGACGATATTCAAGTGATTGAAAAAATACTTCGGTCGTTAACCCCGAAGTTCGATTATGTGGTCACTGCGATTGAAGAATCGAAAAACCTGGAAGAACTTTCAGCCGATTAGTTGTGGGTTCGTTGCAAGCCCACGAAGAGAGGATGAGTACTCGAGTTGAGCCACCAACCAAAATGTTGCAGACCACTTTAAACTTGATTAAAAGAGAGGATTCGCAAGAGTCTGTTGGAAACCAAAGGGGCTGTAGCAGATTTTTGGAGGACGAGGTCATGGATGGTCACGTGGAAATTTTGGTAGAGGAAGAGGAGGACAAAATACTCCACATGGGGAAAGAGCTGGTTCAAAATCAGCGACATAATTTTCGTGGAAGAGCAGGTCGATTTTAGGGTGGTCGAGGAACAAAATCTCATGTCCAATGTTTTAACTGTCAAAAGTTTGGTCATTTTGCTACTGAATGTAGACAAAATCCATGGAGAGAAGAGAAGGTCAATTATGCCGAAGCTATAATAGAGAAATTGAAGGAAGCTACTCTGTTATTGACTTGTGATGGAGAGGAGAAAAAGGAATATCACTCCTGGTTTCTTGATTCGGGTGCAAGCGACCATACGGCGGGAAATAAAGATTTGTTCTACAATCTTGATGAATCGATGAGAGGAAATATTTCTTTTGGAGATAAGTTAAAGTTCCAGTCATGGGAAATGTGATATCCTTATTAAGTTGAAAAATGACAATCATGATTTCAACTCCGATGTTTATTATGTCCCTGCATTGAAAACAAATATTTTTGAGTGACGATGAGTGAGCAGGGACTGATTATGACAAATAAGTAAGGAATGTTGATTGCAAAAGTCCCAATGTCAGACAAATAAGATATTCGTGTTGAAGATCAATTATGATAATCCCAAATGCTTGAAGCGTTTCTGGATGATGTATCATGGCTATGGCATCTCTGATTAGGACCCCTGAATTTTGACGGACTGAAGTTGCTATCCAAGAAAAGACTGGTTTATGGTTTGCCATCTATACAACATTCTAATCAAATTTGTGATGGTTGTATGTATGACAAACAATCCCGAAAGAGCTTTCCCAAGGAGGCCTTTATGAAAACCTCTCGGAAGCTTGAATTGGTGCATGCTGACATATGTGGTCCAATCAAGCCAAGTTCATCTGGAGGTAACAAGTATTTCTTGTGTTTATCGATGATTTTACAAGAAAGACTTGGGTTTATGTTTTGAAGGAGAAATCAGAAGCATTTTCGGCATTTAAAAAATTCAAAGCCCTCGTAGAGAATGAAAGTGGTTTTCAACTTAAGGCTATAAGTGTTAAAACAGAATTTTGCCCAATAATAAATTTCTTATTCCTGGAACCCGACTTAAAATAGAGTACAAAGCAAAAAGAAAAATAAAATTATAATTAAATATCTACCACTAATTGCAACCTAAATTATGGGATTACAATAATTCAAAATTTTAAATTTTATTATTTGGATAACGCCCTTTCACTACAAGAAATTTCGTTACTAAATTCATTTTTTCTGTTACTAATGATATTAGAGACGGAATTAGAGATGGAATTACGTTAGCTACGTGAACTTTAGGAACGGAATTCCGTTACAAATATACTAATTTTTTTGTAGTGTTTATTTCTCCCATAATATTTATCAACCAAAATTAACTCGTATCAATTCCCTCCTTAATTTCGTCAATTAGAATTAATATCTATCAATCTCCCCCCTAATTCTGAGTTGCACCTTCCATGTTTTCAACATGCATAAGCTCCCTCATTTCAATGAACTTCACTCTTGGTAACGGTTTTGTCAAGATGTCCACCTTTTGTTGATCACCACTCACATGCTCAACATTGATAATATCATTCTCGACACATTCACGCATGAAGTGAAACTTTGTGTCGATATTTTTGCTTCTACCGTGGAAAACAGGGTTCTTCATGAGGGATATCGTTGATTTGTTATCCACGAGCAACTTTACATTTCGACCTTCCCATCCAGTTAAGTCTTTGAGTAGATTTCTCAACCATATCGCTTGACATGCCGCCAAAGTTGCTGCCATAAACTCAGATTCACACGAGGATAGCGCCATTGTACGTTGTTTTTCAAAGGACCATGTAATTGGCTTTCCTGCGAAATAAAAAAGTCCCTGTTGTCCCCTTTCTACCATCCAGATTCATGCCAAAACTGCTATCCCTATATCCAATTAGCTTTCCATCTCCTCCCCTTCGATAGAATAGGCCATAATTCATTGTATTTGCGTCACTGCTTGTAAGTGACTTGCTTTTGGGGACTGCATGTATCTGCTAACCACTCCAACTGAATACGCAAGGTCGGGTCTAGTGTGAAGCAAGTAACGCAAACTTCCAATGAGCCGTCGGTAGTATGTGGCATCGACGGGAACACCACCATCATCTTTCATCAAATTGATCTTCGGTTCCATTGGCCACTTCGAAGAATTACAGTCACTCATTCCAGCTAAATGAAGTACCTTCTTTTCATAACCTCCTTTGCTAATTTTGATTCCCCGACTTATCTTGATGGACTTCTATTCCAAGATAGTAAGACAATTTTCCCAAATTTGCTCATTTCAAACAATTTGCACATCCTGTGTTTGAAAGATTTAATCAGCTCTTCACTTGTCCCAGTAACTAAGTCATCAACATAGACCCCAACAATCATCATAGCCTCTCCTTTTTTAAATTTGTAGACTGCATGTTCTTGTGGACGCAGAACAAATCCCAAATCCTTAAGTGATTTCTCGAAGCGAATATTCCATGACCTCGGTGCTTGCCTCTAACCATAGAGTGCCTTCTTTAATCCATAAACCTTGTGTTCATTACCTGCAATGATAAAACCCTCTGAGGAGACATAAACCTCTTCCTGCAA